GATGTAGGGTTTTGGTGATCCAGAAATCGCACCATTTTCTTGTACGCCCTCTTCCTTTTCCTCCCCAAATAGCGGGAGGTGGCATTCAAGTGATGTGGGAACTGTCGTGATGGTAGGGTACGTTGTAGTCAGTGACAAGTGTGACCTACTTCCCCGGTATGCCTTAGTGTAGTAGGGGTTTTAGAAGTCACGCGTGTCAGCTCGTCCATTGGATCCGGTCCAGTTTATTGCAGTGGTAGTGAAAATACCTCCGAGGTAGCGCATACGTGCACACATCTTGTGGTAAGGTAGTTACTGAGGTGGTACAGATATCTGCTGGTATTCACCGAAAAAGAGGCGCACCCCAATTCGACGTGTTGATAGAACACTCGAGCTCTCCATCTTAAAGATATTTTAAGTGATGCTAACCATACATCTGTCAGTGGCAGTGTGACTGTGATGTCCCTTCGCCAAAAAGGAGACCCACAAATTCGAATAATTTTTGCGAGCCAGTAGTAGACGCACACTTCATCGTTCAACCATTGAGATTGGTGTCATGACCTCCTGCTCGTGCCTACAGCTTCCACAGACCTTCTTCCACGCTGATGTGCTCTAAATGCTATCTAGAGACTGTATCTCAACGGCACATTAAAAAGCCCTCGGGCGCTGATGGCCAAATGTGTGGAAATCTACCCTGGAAGGATTGACAAAATGGCACCAACTCTGACAAACACCCTCATGTTGCCTTTAAACATATGTTTCTGCAAAAAGCAAGCAGAACAAGGAATGTGCTCTCCGTAGCCCTTTCTACAGTCGATGCAGGGTACGAACTTGTCACAATTTCCCCCTCTTACTATCCCCTTGCCTCTCAGTTGATGCAATCTTGTGACCAACTGAAGTAGAAGAGCAAAACACGAGACGGGCAGTCACCATCTTAATGACAGTTCCTGCCCATGGTTTACCAGCCTTTCATACTGTCATAACGTCTCCAGGCGCTACACCCGACTCTAGAAGGTTCGTCCAGCCAGAAAGTGGTCGTGATCTTTAAAACACAATCCACCTTTGCTGTAAAAAGGCATTCTTCAAGAGGACTGCTGTCATCCTCTCTGTTGAGTTTACACTCCCTCAAATGTCAGATGTCTGAGGAAGCACAGTAAGTTCCTATTCCTCACTCTCCTGCTTCCTTCCCTTCACCACTTTCATTTATATCACGTAACGACAAAATAAAATTTCAAAATCAGCATTTAAAATGAAGAGTTCGTTTTTATTCCCTCGGCATAAAAGATGTAGCCTAAATTTAGTGAGGGGAGAGGCGAGTGATGAGTTAATTGGCCTCTTTCTCACCTGATTAAAGAGTGGAGAGAGAGAAAACCCCACTACCCTAGAGCATATAAAAAATGAGACTGTGGAATGGATACCTATTATTCAGTTGAAAAGGGAAAAAAATTGAGCTTGAGACACACTCTAACGCCAGGTAGGAAAAAAAACAACATGACATCGTAGTATTGAGCTTGCCTTGAAAATTAGTTTTCTTTGTTCCTTCTGAAGTGGGAAATTGCTGTCGTCTGTCTCGCTATCTTCCTCATGCTAATGACAGGGAGGTGTTTAAAAGGACATCAAAAGACCTAATTGATGTGGAACAAAGGGGGGTTTTGCAAGCATCGAAGAGAATATGAAGGGAGGAAGAGGAGGAAAGGGGGGGGCTTTTATCACCCTCTCAGAGGAGTGGATGCACTTCTGTGGGTAACAGGGGAAATAAGATTTCCTGCTGGCGATAAACAAAACTTCACTTAACGAATGCCATCATATGACCCATTTACCTGGCGTTACTTCCCTTAATTGCACGTTTATCTACATTAACTTATCAGTCACCGCAACTTCCGGTCACCGTCACGGTGGCTACAAGCGGATAAACTGGTTTTGGTCAGGGAAAAAAAGGTCATAGCGATTACATCCAGAGAGGGTAAACGACATTGTTTGATGGAATCTGATGATAGGGAAAAAAAGGAGGCAATAAAAGTTTTTATGAGAAAAGATAAAAAAAAGGGTGAAAAATTGCACGCATGGATGGATATGCATCGGTGTAGCTGTGCCATGAACTACTCATTTCCGACAGTCGACGTGTTAACCAATGCAAGCTTTGTCTTGGCGGCGTTAATTTAATACGGTTTCGGGGTTACAAAAGGCTCCCAACACCTTTAAACGTACATGGAATGCCAACTTATTCGGTTACTACCATGTCCGTCTAACCTTCATTAATTCTTTGGACTACAGCCAGGCTGACGGCAAAAATGCGGGCAACAAAATTGATGAGGGGTCCCCCTACTGGAGGCATTTGCAATGTCAGGAGCCGCTCCTGTTTTCATTTTCCAGAATTTTTATTTCTTGCACATTCCAGGAGGTCTCGGAACTCGTGCACTCGTTTAGTTTTGCCTTAATGGCCAATGTGCTAGTGAGGCCACTTCTCGTCCCGCCGGTGGTGAGCTATGGGTCACGTATCTACACTTTGCAGCTTCACTTTATCCAAACGTGTCAGTAATTGCGATGTCCGTATCGAAGTCTTTGTTCCGTTGACTATTCAGGTTGCGAAATCAACAGGACAACAGCACAAATAGCCAACTCTCTGATCAGTTCAGACATCGCTGACCAGAATGGAGAGTCACAGTGGCAGTGCGCCTATACGACGGCATGATGTAAACTTCGTGATACCTACAAAAGACTATGGCCACTCTCTCGATACGGTGATGCAATGCTCACGCATAGCAAGGCTTGGATGGCGTAAAACATTTCAGGGCCAGTCGTACATGCGTTAATGACAATCCCCCCATACCTTGATGATCCTCATTCCGCAGTAATCACTCCGGTGCGTAAAATACCTGCCATTGGAGGCCTGATAATCACAAAAATGAGGCTTTCCATGGTAAGAGTTAACAGCTAATACAGGAGATAGCCTGTATGCCCCAAATGCCTAGGTATCGAGTCAGCTGAAATAAGTAAACAATTGTGAACCTCGGAGTATCAGTTTAATCTGAGCACCAGTCGCAGAAAACAAAACGCAGGGGAGAACAAGGGATGAGAGGTCATAGTACCTAAAGGAACATTTTTTTACTTTTGGGGGGGAGGAGGAGGAAGGTGAACAAAGCAGAAGGATCTGGTCAAGAGGTGCAAGCAAGATGTACCCCAAAACGCTACTAAAATAATTCTATCTGCATGGGATCGCCCTCTCCACAAGTATGCGTAAGAAGAGGCGAATGCTTTCCTACTTCCTCCCGACCTCAAGAGGCCGAGTTAAGCCCAACGGAACGGCATACTTCATGCAAACACCAAGTAAACTGCCGTTTATAGACAATCTTGTTTCAATAGCAAAAAATTTTTGGCCAAGTAAGCAAACAGTTGTGGAGGTTTCACTCCGCCTACATCTTTTAGTGCTCCCTGATTTCTCAACTGATTCTGCACTGGACTACGTGGGACAGTGAGTGGGTTGAAAGATGCCTTGAGGAAATACCGCCAGGGTCAAGGGGGACAGAGGGCTTTCGAGGAAAGGGGGGGTAGTTGTGACGGTACCCACACCCTTTTAAAGTACAAATCTTTCCACAACGTTATTCTGGCAGTGTTATGAGTTATGGGGCCTCTTGCACCGTCCTACAGGATTTGAGCTCTTCGCTTCCTGTTTCATTATTAAATCCTATGCACACCTGAGGGAATTTTTCGTGTCAAGTGGCAATATGTCCTAGGCACTTTACAAGTGCCCACAAATTCCACCACAATGCAGTAATTTATGCCCCAAAATCGAGCTAACTACCTTCCATCATGTGGTGGAGCTTCAGAAGGGACAATAAAAATTATTAGGGAGGAGGAAGTACTGAACACTATCTAGTACATCTCATTTTTTTCGCATTCTCCATCAAGTACTGTCAGGTGTACTTCCAAGCTGATAAGTGACCTTTATGTAGTCAATCAGAATAAGATCCTCCTTCGCAAGCACTAATTGAAGTCGGAATGACAACCCTAGGGAAAGCGATTGTAAAATTAATGAAGCAGATTTAAGGTGAACAAAAGGAGACGCCCAAAACGGCACTGTTTTTTTCTCACAGTAAATACACAAATGTTATGCGAAAAAAACCTCGCCCAGGGAAATAAAATGAAGAGGATGCATAAATAGCAGGATAGAAGAGGGGAAGGGGGAGAAAAGGGAGAGCTAGAAAGTACAACGCCTAGAACACTAATTAATCTCATCTTTACAGCTCACTTGAGATGGAGGAAATTAGAGAGAAGAGCAAAGTAACTGAAAAGAGAAATAAAAAGGCGAAATCACTGTCAGTGATCGTGAAGGCTGCCAAAAGGAGACTGCCATACAGGCACTACAGCCTAATTCACGTTTATTTGGTGTGGCCAGAGGGTTATTAGCCGTTTTAAGCTCACATTAAACGCAGCAAAGTTTGTTAAGGCAATGAAAAAATCAAGAAATGGAGGAGAGGACGCAAAAGGAGAAGGATATGCAAAAAGCCTGGTAACCAACCTGATAAAATTGCAAAATACCTCCCCGTCACTGCTCTGTGTCAAAGATGGAGCCCCCTGTCTAGCGAAAAATGGCACAAACTTCATTTTTGCACCAGCCTGAAATATAATGGTCATGGGATCGGCAACTGACGAAGACTTTCGTGCTGAGGTCCCCGGAGCCACTAGGGAGTCTGTCGAAAGACATCCCTCCTCGGAGGTAGACGGAAGTGATGCTGGCAGATGTGGTATTGAAAATGGAGCAGTAGCGGCTGCGGTCACCGCTGCAGTAGCAGCATCACTATAAACAGCCCCTGATTGAGCTGAGCCAGGATCCTGCCAAACACCGGCGTAAGAGAAGCTCTTACGTACTGCAGATGAGGTCTGTGGATTGGAGGAGTTGAGCATACGTTGCTGCTTCTCCCAGGGAACCACTAACTCCGTCTCATCCATGGTTATTATGAATATGCTTTGGTTAGAGTCGATATAGGCGCCTCCACGGATTTCACTTTTGGCCGGTGGCAATTGGCCAATGGGAGTTAGGTAAGTTTATAATTGGACGATTTTAGAAACCGGTGGTTGGGACGATGGATGGATGAACTATTGACCAATAAACAACAACTAAAATGCCAAGCTCATTGAATTCGGTTAACTTGGAGATATTGGCAACAGGGTGGTCAAATAATCGGGAGATGCGATAAAAGAAAATGCAAAATGGGAAAGTGGGGAGAACTTTGGACGAACCAATTAACACATTAGCTACTGAAAGTCGCAGATTAGTCATTGTTCAAATATGGCACTAGCAGTTGCATTTCGAATTTGATCAATTCAACGACTACCAAGAGATCTGTTACACAATTGGATGAAACAAGAAGTTACCACATACATCACAGATGTAAGGCTAGACTCAGGTCAGGAAATTGGAAGCAGAGTTTACGCAATGCAATAAAGGAAGGGCTTGTTTCAAAGGGGGAGAGCATAGCTTCATAAGGTTATTTTTACGGTCAGAAATAAAACTAAAGGTTATGAGGTGTGAAGAAGTCCATAAAAACTCACCTGAGAAACTTAATACTGGCGGACATGGATCTGATGAGACGGAAGGCACAATTTACGAGAGAGCAAGAAACACGCGCGCACAAAGCGACCTGCTGTAATGGCAAACAAAAATTAACTCACGATGGGAGCCCAGTGAAGAGTAAACCAGGAAAGTTGGCAGCTAAGCACTACAGCTGAAGTGCTCGAGGCTGCGAAACAAACTCCAGTTTGACAACATCCCATTCTGGAGAAAATTGTCGAATAGCCGAGAGCTTATAGAGCAGTTCCGGAAGTAGTATTGAAGAAAGTAATAAGGAGATTGACGATACTAAGCAGTTCAAAATGTAGTGACCAGTCCCAAACGGTTTCCAGCCTTTCCACATAGACAATTACCATGACTGATAAAACGGTAGTACCAGTTGGGCTCGATGAATAGCCAACAGTATATTATCGGACTTGTGTAGAAATACCAGCACACCAAATATGGACGCGATCTGAGAATTTAAATGGTTGGACGAGAAAGCATTCCTTAATAGCTATGACGCGAAACAATACGGAGTAAATGCCCATCCAAATAAATTTGTAGTGGGAATTTGTACAAAAAAGATGTGAACCCCTTAAGGCTTAGATTAGGCTACGAGTGAACAAAACTGTAGAAGCTAAATGAATTATTCTAGTGGGATACACAAGATGTCTTAAAATGCGATTGAGGAAGTTGTACCGCTCATCTCTCCATCACTGTCAATCCCTAAACCAAAATAAAGTTGACTGCTTCTAGACAAAGCAGAAATTATAAGCAAGTAAATATTCACCAAGCAATGGTATGGAAAGTCATGGAACGCAGAGACAATGCCAAAACATACATGTAACATCTTTAATCAAATTTACACCAAAAGTAGACCAGTCAAATAAGGATAGGAAAATCACAAAGGAACTTCTGTGGAAAGAAGAAGCAGGGAAATTGGGGCTTCCCAAATGGGGCAATTTTGCTTCCAGTCGATTCAGCTGCATTGGAGCCTTTATTTTGGAACAAAAGTATACAATATACTGTTTGAAGTGTACAAAGCCTTAGTTCTCAGGAGTAAATCTACCCAGATCTCCCGAAATTGATTCGAATCAGCCTCGGTGATACGTCGGCGATTTACGAAAACCTCACGTAATGGTCACACATTGACCTGCACACATGGAAGCTGGAGTTGATCTCGTAACTGCTAAAAGTACTTGAAATATTTAAAAAGCAACTTATCTTATTAGATACCCATATAATATAGCCGACATATTTTTTAATATAAAATTATTACAAAAGGTCTATTAAGAAACTAAATTGCAAGGCTAAAGGTTTGATTCCTATAGATCAAAAAACCTGAGACAGTGTAAAATACATAAAGTTTTTTTGCTGAGCAAGACAAACATATTTGTATACACTTTTTCTCAATAGGGAAAATTATGGTTGAGTGGATTTTGTCCAATAATATTCCCCTACCAGAAAACTAGAAACTCGGCAGTCACCTTTTCAACTCTACATGACAGTAGAATTCAGTCACTAATTAGGCATATCATTTTGCTTGTTACGATTGCATCTGCCCAAAACAGGAAGTGGAATCAATACCCAGGTGCTAGAATTCCAGTTTGACTACTATCTTAGCTTCAAGGATTTCTTCCTTAATATCGTTTTAAATGGACTTATTTTGCATACTTCATTTTTTATAGGCAAGATTCTCATCCAGTGTATGCGTTTCGGTGATAGCAATAACTGCTGTTGTTGGAAATCTGCCTGAAATCTCATTAATGAATTTACCTACTTTAGTGGAATGAAATGCTCACAGGCACCTGGGTACGTCCAAGTGCAACCACAAGTCTGTCTAGCAAATTCATCCCACAGGATACGACCGCACTCCAAGGTACTGAGCTCGTTTTCCTCATGCATGCACCAGGGCAGATCGACAGAATACTGATGAGGTTACCCGCCCCACGACTAAACACTCCCACCAAAAGCAACACCACACAACTAAAAGAATTCGCTGATATGGCATTACATTTCTTCTCAATCACTTGAACTGAAGAGGAGAAGCAAAGTTATGCGACATGATGTAGATAAGAAATGAACTGTTGATTATCACGATGACTGGAACCAGTAAATGCAAAGTAACTAAAAGAAGGAGTCAAAAGATAAGGTGGGAGCTAGTCAGACTCCTCATCCTCCTCATCGGAAATGTTCTGTACCAACTCCAAGACATGCTCCGCAGGTCGTACTCGTCCATCCTCGCCCACAACTCCAGGCTGGATTAGACCACTTCTGGAAAAGTAATTAAAAGATGGAAAATTTGATAAAATTCCACAGATATATTGGGAGGGGGGGGGGGAACGTCTTAACTGTTAAACCATTTCCCAAGCGTTCAACAGGAATGCAAGAAGCTATTGCTGATTGAAAGCCTTCACCAGCAAAAATTCCAAGGGGAAATTGACCACTACGATCCGGATCTTCAGCCTTTCAACCAAGCTAAACCCGGTTTTTTCGAACAAACAGGCCCAAATCTCATCCTGTTGCTTTATAAGCAGTATGAAATTGTTGCAGTGAGCTGTAGCAAAAACCATGAGCATTTTTGACTACCTTGGCAGGTGTGGTACGTAGGTGACAGGAAATTGCTCTAATCACCGCTCCCGATTCAAGCGAGGAGCAGGCAAAGAAGAAAAGGCAAAAGTTGCATGTAAGCGTTTGAAACAAGTTTAGACAAGACTGACCTCTGAAGTTGATCAATCTTGTTGACCAATTGCATAGCCTCAAATTCCTTCTGCTCATCACTGAGACCCTCCATTGGATTACAACGTGGCGGTTCAACGCGACCCGTCACAGGGTTAATTTGGTCTTTTAACTCTCGATAATCCTCCGTCTCGGAGTCCGAGGAAGCTGAAGAATAGGCCTCGCCACCGCCACGACCACCAGACGGTGCCATGAGACCGTGGCGTGAGAGGAAGCCCACAAAGTTCCCAAAACCCGAATACTTCACTGCGCGGTCGACTAGAGGAGAGTGGTTATAGGACATCAGTAGGAGAAGAATATCCTATCGTCACAGGCGTGGGAGCCTCTGCTTTTCACACACACACAAACACCCACAAAAGGCTCTAACTATCTACCTGCCCACTTACCCACCTAGTTGATAAACAGGAATGCGAAAATGAAGAACGTAGGCTAAAATACGAGGAGCGTTCGCATCTTAATGCTCATTTCTTTCGCATGACACACCCTTCCTGTGGGTCCATTAACACACAAGCAGAGCCAAAAGCGGTAGGAGGCGTCCATGGAGAGCTATTTTACTGTCTGTAGGTAAATGCTTGCCTCTGTGTGTTCTATTCACGGTTCTCTTCCCTTCCCTAGCGGGGAGATGTTCGTGCGGCCCTTTATGCGTCGATCCAACAACCAAGGACTATGGATTCCACGTGTCAAATCGACTCCTCAAAGGAATGACTTTAATGGATTGGGAATCATTATAACTAGGGTGGTACGATCGTTTGATGAGAGAATTTCTAGGTAGGCCTCATCCTTACTCATCACCGGCTGAGAATGCATCCATGGAAGGGAAGTGCTGAAAGTAACCAATAAGTGACCTCGGAAAGCTCTTAACAGATAGCCTAGTTCCAGCCATCTCAATTTTCATCTATTTAATGCAAGGAAAAAGGCAACAATCATTTGAGGCTTGGGGAAATATCACCAAGAGAATGCGCAGAATAAGGACAAGACAGCATTTCCCTCCCATTCCATCAAAGAGTGGTCCATGAGGTCTCCTTACGAGCCACTTAGCTTGGCGCTGCTCCTTGCCACTGATCTATTGGTCCTAATCCTTTCTCAAAGGAAAGTGTATCTTGCAAATCTTCAAGTTGTGCCGTACCGATTTAATCGAGATCAGTCGTATTTGCTAGACCTTCAGTAGGCGAACAATTCATAGAACAACAACCAGTTTTCCAACATTAGTCAGCCAGCAAGCAATCTTTTCCCAGTGGTGCAATTTTACGATGCACATGAAAAGGGTGAAAAACAAATTGATGCATTTCCCAGCCGTCTAGCAGTGAATGGAATGCGAAACCCATTCATCATCATATCTCTTCCAAATAGTGCACAAGCAACTTTTGCAGCCTTGGAACCGACTTTAACTCGATCTGGCAGGCAAAGAGCCTCGAATCACATCCACCGGCCTGACATCAGCACGAACAGAGGGTTGGAAGGAAGAGGGAAGTGTTGGAGAACGCGGGAAAGATTGACGTTAAACGATCGGAGGCATTTCAGGAATCAAAGTCGTTTTAACAAGTCGTACCGAAAACAGAATAAAGAGTAATCCTCATCTAACAGAGGTAAAACTCACCCTTTTCCTTACAGAGAATAAAAATAAGCAATGCCACAGCTTCCACAGTCCTATCATCCAGGTTTGCTTTGGCGGTTAATCTACTGCACAGTCTAAAGACGAAAGGAGGAAATTCACAGTAGCCGAAGAAGTGCGCACTTCTAAATGGTGACAAAATTGGCATACCGATTACGAAGAGTATTGCCTGTTTCTGGCAGACGTTTGACATCTGCGCCTAGATGTGGCAGAAGCTACAATTCCAAGACAAAAAGTAGGGCAGGTGAAACCTTAATCAGTCATTCTTTCTAATATAAAGGGTGAGACACATACCCTCATGCGGAGGTACTTCCTGATTGTTCTGTTAACCTTCGAGGCGGTAGCCATCACGGTCAGAATGGGAGAGAGCAGTTGGCCCGAACGAGATGGTGATTTATCATCCTGTTTGGTTTTCCAATCGCAAAATGATAAAAAAGTGTTTAGATACAAGATCTTTTTAAAGTCACACCCTTATCTTATTCTCAAGAATTTGTTGCGCCGTGGAGTCGACTCAACAAAGATAGGGCTGTCAAATCTTGTTTTAACTGACCTCGTAGTTTAACCATTAAGCAAGTATTACATGACGACCTGCTTTCAAGCTGAGGAGCTCAGCGAGGAGTCACAAGGCTATACTGTCTTGACGCGGTAAAAAGCACCCTCACAAATTGCGAAGAGAAGGTGTATCCTGTTGATAAATGGATCGGCCTAGACTCACAAGATCACAATACCCTTTGGCAAACACCCCGACTTAAAATCTAGCACCACGGATAATGGCATATGATTAAATTATGGAACCATTCCCATGCTCTAAGGAGCCAAGAATAATCCAGACAAACACCTGAACAGCGCTGAAATGGTAACAAGGTGGCAAAGAGAAAAGGACGCTGAACATGGGTACCACGAAGATGCCTCACGTGGTACTCCATCAGGCGGTTTACTGCTGGGTGAGTGTTCCATTAACTAGAAGGTGGGCCCCGAAACAAACTCACCGAGGCACTTCGTTCAGCCTTGTACATTACTATACCAGTGTGTATTGGTAAGGCGTAACTGCAAAATTCCTAGGAAAACTTGATATTAAGTGGGGAATACAACAACATCTAATTTAAAAAGGGGCACTTGACCTAATCCGTGTTTCACAAGGTGGATGTAGCGCCAATACATACAGGAGAGCTAAGGGTCAAACGAGTGGGTGTATACGACAACGCTTGACACTTTATTGACAAAGATGTAAAAATCGACCCCGTAGATACCTATTCACGCCTACAGATTAAGAGTGATGGTAGTTGTCAACCCAGAGCTTCGGTAGCCATTCATGCGACCACCTTGTCAACGTAAAATTAGCCAGGTACCAAAAATTGAACGATAATGCATGCGTAAAGCTAAGGAGGCATCACCTGTTCCAACTGATAGGTCAGAAACTCGACAAGAACGGAGAGAGCTCGAGTAACCTGAGGATCGGCGTGAAAATCGTCCGACTGCAAAGAAGCATCAACATTCGACGGTGGAAAGAGCAATTCTACGTAGCATGCAGATGGAACCGAGGTGAGGAAGTTGACCGAATGACTGTAAAAGGAAAAGTGCGTTTGAGTTTTTAGTGGTGTCTACCTAACGAGCTCCATCCTGCGTTCACGAGGCTCCACGAATTTCACAAGCAGTTCACGAATGACGGTAGTAAGGTCACGATAGGTGGATTCGTAAAGTTTCTGAAGGGCGAAGGAGACAAGATCAATTAGGAAGACTTCAACCTACCTGATCGTAATCTCGTTCTTTCTTGGCGTAGCTTAAATTGAAAAGCAGCTTTAGCGTTTCTATGGCAATGTCAAACTTTTGAGGGTGGACGGAGAAGTCTGAGGCTAGCGCCCATCGAAGAATGTTTACAAAAATATCGGATTCAAAACGCGAAGTGAGAATTTCAAGACGTGCGGCAGACTCCAAAGCAGAGCAGAGAAAGAGCACCTTCAGATCAAATAATGCGATTTGGAAGTTAGGGGAGCCCTTAATTTGAGCCTCACAACGATCGAGCAACGCATCCAAGCAGTGCTTCAGTCTGTCAAATGTAACAAGCAAAAAAGCACTAGTCAGAATCACGCCACAGCTGCTGCCTATGCATGTCTGTCTCCCATGGTTGGGTCTTTAAACTAGTGGCACGGATCACGGCTAGACTACTCAGCAACATTCCGAGAGAACATGACTACCCGCAAAAAGAGTGGTATTGAAAAGGCCAACATTAGGTAGTGTTATCAAGCAAAATGAGGGAAAACACACACCTCAAGTCCTGAATAACGTCTGGGTTTTTGAAAATGACATTTGAGAGGCACTTCAGAGCACCTACAATGCACTCGTCGGGTGGCTTCGGCGAATCTGGTAGGATGGCAGCTTCTCGAAATAGAAGATGGAGCATGTCACATTCGGATAGGCGCTTTTGGTAGTCAGGATCACGACTCAAAATGAGTAAACAGACAATTGCGTCAGCATTGCTTTGATTGGCCGGGTTTTCCAAAAATGCTTTGCATTCGGAAAAGATTTTCTTTAAGAAAAATGGAACAAAATAAAGAAGTTGCAGAATAAAACAGTAAAAAACAGAAAGTCTCATGACTAATTTACTAATGAGACCAATTGATGGAAAATGTTATAAAAGGTGAGACCACGGCTACTAGAATATAAGAGTTGTAAGTAATGGAAATAACAAGAACTTAATTAGCTAGTGAAAAATTAACAGCTAAAACAAAATATTTGCCAGCAAAGGGGGCGAAAATCGCACAAACGCTGAAGCGAAACATACGAAAAACAAATAATCCATAAAAGGAAACGAAAAACTTACCGCTTTCAGACCTACAGGCACATCTGAGATAGCAAAGTTGTTTTCGTTCTAAAATAATAAAAGCTACACGAAGAAAACCTGTTTTCGGAAATCAACAAAGAGGTCCGTATCCATCATATCATGTGGCATACAATCTCAGGAAGGGATAGGCCAGCGAAGGGGTTGCTTCACGCCGCCTACCAATGGTGTTGACTTAAACAAAAACATCTAAGCATTTATTTTAAAGCAATTTGAAACAATTGAATTAAAATCAACATTGATTTATTGGCCTTTGCGTGACCACATTTGCACTAAAAATATTTTAAACTACTTTAAGCGTAATTTGCAAAGTGGATGGCAATTTAAAAAACGATAAGCGAAGTAAAAAATTACTATTTGTGGTAATACGAAAGGCCATATCTAACTAAGCAACAAAATAAAAAAAGAGCAATATTTGATTAACAAAACTTGGCACAAATAGATGAACGAGTGCTTGACTTTTTCTTGTCATTGCATAGGTCATATTTGTTTATGTTGACTAGGTTAAATTGGGTTAATTGGGTACTTTTTCAAAAGTGCTAACTTAAAGAGCAAAGTCAAGTTATTGAAACCAAATGCACGATGTAGTTTGGCAAAGCTTAGGCAGCAAAAGTAGATATTTTGGCTTAGAAATCATTTTTTGTCGCAGCAGTTTTTTTGAGGGTTACTAGCTTTTCGACTTTATGAATTCAATAGTAACTAGAGTTTCTCTGTAGATCTCCTAGATATTTGCCCCTTTTTTGTGTGCACTAGACTCAAAATGTGTATTGATAAGGCTTTGTTATATATTTTAGCTATAGCTTTAAGCGTTTAACTTCTAAACGATATGTTTCTTGAGCCGTCAACAATTTTTCAATATTTAATGATTTGCTGAATTTGTTTCCTTTCTTTAAGGTTATGTTAAAGCATGAAACAGGCCTTTATAGCTGTTGAAAACGGATTATGCCATAAAGCATGCTGCACTCGTGCCGTTGGCGATCTTTCCTGCCTTTTTAGTTTGGTAATTTTCTTACCTATTTTTTGTGTGATATTTTACACATTTGCCACTACATATTATGAATTTATGTTTGACGATTCAGATACTTGGAATATGCACCTTAATGGTAAGCTTAATGGCAATTTACACGCACGGCGAAGTGACTAGAACATTTGGAATCAATCTTTACTACGGAATGTATATCGTTCTTTTCGCAAGTCTCTGTACCATATGGACTGCCTTCCTAGGCATGTGTGGAATGTCAGCCAAAAACAGATTCTTCGTTATTGTGGTCAGTTTTTCCACAATCATATCTATCCTTCCATCCGTTCCTTCCTATATCTTCACACATCCATATATTTATTAATCCACTTTATATTTGTCTTTTAATTCCCCATTTGTCGGTCCCGCATCTATTTATCCATCCATCCATTCATCCAGCCCGTATCCATCTATTCATCTATTTATCCCATATCCATCCATTCATCCATCTCGTAATTATCTACCCCCCATTTCTCCCTTATTCAGCCTTCTGTCCATTCTACATGCATTATTTTCGCACATTTTAATCCATCCATTACTTATTTATTCATCCATCCTCTATATCCAATCTATCCATCCATTTTGCGTCCATCCATCCCATATCCATCCATGCCTCCACCCCAGGTCCGCTCGTTCCCCCGTTTAACCATTCCTCTCACGCATCCATCTCTTTGTTATCGTTTATTTCTTAGTTTAGCTGCTCTCAACCAAGATGTCTTCTGTATATTTGGTGCCTAATTCTACACAAAAATTTTTTAAAGCTTGTTGCAGGATCAATCCTTCTCATTATCATCTTACTAATCGGCCTTCTTCTTGTTCTCTTATTCCCCTATTTGGTAAGACTGTTTCTTCTCCTAACCTTCTTTTACAAATTGTGGCAATGACTTTCAACGTCAGTTGTGATTTCTAGGCCGGAGATAATGTTGGGGCGGTGATGTTAAAAAATTTGAAGGACAACTATGGAACCTTGGCAGTTATCACCACATCATGGGATTATCTCCAAGGCTACCTTCTCTGCTGTGCAGTTGAAGACAATGGTTGGAGTGCTTGGCGCGACTCCAAATGGTTCCTGGACGAAAATTCAGTGCTCTTGGACGATACACAGACCATTCCAGGTTGGTTGTTTCAACACTTCCACTTCTTTTGATCTACCGAAATCACAAGATTCCTTCTTTTAATTTGTAAAGGTGTACCCTCACTTTTTGCAAAAGTGGAGCGACATAATTAGGTCCGGTTTTCCCTGCAAGATCTACGCATTTTGACTGGGCAGTCATCCAGATTTTGGCAACTAATGAAAGTTTGTTTGAGGTATTTTGGCTGGAATGAGAAATCAAGAGCTGAATAGACTCAAATTGAGACTTAAACAGTGGGAGACGATGAGGTTCGCCTGACTGGTGGACAAAATCATTTCCCTTATGTCACTAATCGCAAAAGAGTTTACAGTGGTGGCAGATTGAACAGGCAGGAAAGGAAAATTTAATCCCAGTTTGTAAGGTGTGGGTGAATTTAACAGTTTTGTTAGTCCTGTTAATGCCTAATGAAGGATCTCAGTCTTTAAAATAATTAACCCTACTGAAAGGCCTGATAAAATATCACAAGCTTGAGCCACTGGAAGTCACTTTGTGTACTATCAAATATAAGCAAAAAAAAAACGAAGTCGAAGCGGCCTCAAACTTTACTTTTCATGCATTAACACAGCAAGCCTTACTTGGGGGAGAAAGGGCATGCAACTTTGCCGGATTAACGCCCATAGCTATTAATGCTGTCGCTAGGAGACAAAGAGAAGGCATGAGTCAACAGCCGTACCCGATGGAGTAGTTTATTATTTTGACGTATTTTGTTGATTATTCATTGAATGGTGATAAATTAATACAGTGGCCCCGAACGAAGCTCTTACACTCAAATTGACCGCAATGGCAGAGAGCTTTTGTGACGCTCTACTTAAGTGTTTGTAAGTAGCACGGACCGGTCCCGAAATGCTTGAAAGAGCGATGCTTTTGCCCCGATCGCAACCTGCACTTTGCACAAAAGTTGCCCACCTTCATGCCACTACAAGAACATAGCTAAATTGGTGACTGCTGGCTGGTAGCTAATGAGTTATGCGTACCCCTATGGTAACTTCTTTCCGACACGGAGTAAATCGCACATGCGGAAATAACGCTTGCAATAACGATGGAGAAAATTAGCATATTATCCTGACATAGATTCAACAAGCCACCAGCCATGACGACACAACAATGAAAATGCACTCAGCGTAGTCCGCCCGACACCCCATACCAGAAGCACCTGAGGTGGGTGAAAACGTACCTCAGGCGCGAAGGCCCCTCGAAGGTTATCAAACCCACCCACCAGGACGGCCCTACAGTAACTTAAGCATGACTAAAATTCTTCAACCCCCATCTCCTTTAAGCCTCCAACCCGGCCTACCGAATGGTGCCCAAGTCCTGCTGCTACAGGAAACTGGATTACTTGACGCGCCAACTAACTGATGAATATGAAAACCTCGACCGGTGTCAAAATTGGCAATACGGACCCCCAAAGTTTACAACCGGAGCGCACAACGACGCCATATACTATAGAGTAAGATTGGACAGAGCCTAACTCTCTTCTTCAGGGATGTCTACCAACAATTCAAGCCTACATCAAAAGATTCAGCTTCTGGATTATGCTATTCGGATTTTGCACATTCTTCTTTCTGATAACATCCACAACGATAGGATGCATCACACTCCAGCAGATACGATAAAAACACACCAAAACAGTTCAATTTAAATGTACTCAAGAAGTGAAGAAGGAAATAAAGTTTGCACAATACGCACGTGGGGGTATCAAAGAACTGCAAACACACCCATCAGTAGTGGACGGTAACGACTAGGGATCTTACGAGTAAATAATTCCTAGAACATGAAGCACCATAAAGTATAATTGCGTTCTTACGTAAGTACAGATAAAACAAGAGCAGCATCATAAAAACCTTTTTAATTCACAAATAATTAGTCAAAAAGACTGAAACCCATGTCCGCATCAGATTCTTCGGACTCCTCTTTCTTTTCTTCCTTGGCGGGAGCAGGGGCCTTGTCGCCACCCTTGGGAGCCTCAGCAGCAGCAGCGGTAGTGGGAGCACCACCCGCTGGAGTAGCGACAGCGACCGGGGCGGCGCCAAAAGAGACCGTGGACATTTTCTCCTTACCGGCGTTAATCAAATCATGCACATTTTTGCCGTGTAATTGGTCAACTACCTAATTATATTAAAAGTGGAAACATGCTACTTGCCAACTTGGCTCGCGCCTGCTCACATTCGATACCAACTGAGCTTAAAATATTTTTAATATCGGACTCCTGAGGACGACTAGTACCGCCCAGTTGGGCTAGTAGGTAGGCAGCGAGATAGCGCATCCCAGACAGATCACGATAGCAGCCCAAGTAAGGCGCGTCACGAAGCGATTCGTCGACTAAAACAAATATTTATTGCAAAAGTTGATGAACTAAAAATATCCTAGAGTAATACTTATTTGCTGCACTTTTAGCAGCAAAACTGTTAAATTTAGAAAAAGCACAACTTCAGGATGATGAATTGCTTTTAAAAGAAGGGAGATTAATAACTTTTAATAAAAAACTCGTTTAATAAGCATAAGGCTGGCCATTTATATATTTGCTTTTACTGCACATTTTATTTTAGCTTAGATTTACGTCTAGTGTGGTAGATAAAACATATTTTAAAGTCACTTTAAACCCTTTTGAAAAAATCAGCTCAAGGTTTTTGGAATACAGCATTAAAATCTAGTTTCACAAAGACATTCAGGCCTTCGTATTTCCCCTCATTTTTTATAAGCACGATTATTATGGAGGATGCGTATAATGAAGCTTCCGAAGACTTCCCTTTAGACGAAAAAATGCACAATACTCGGGCAGAATGTATATAATTAGCACAGAGAAGGTGTTTAGGCTACTGGCATGGCCCGAAGGCCAGCTCACCCAGCATGGTACAAAGGCCAAGTCAAAAGTAGCTTCTCACCAATGCCGAGGGATAAACAAACATCCATATTGCTGGTGTATGCCAAATCCCATTACTAAACTCTTTGTGAAGCTCACAGTAAAGTGATTGCTGTAGTCTTTTCGGGAACTTCAGAGGTCATAACCAATTTAGGGATAGGTGAATGGGGAGCCGCTTTGGGGAGGATGGGGTTGGTTCAATGAAGAGCTAAGAGTTTAAAAAAGGCTTCAATGAATTACTATGTATTTTTCCGCCAAAATACAAAAGGAGTAGCAATTCACCATGGGTTAGGGTTAATAAATCATAATTGGGTATTCACATTTCCAAGTCTTGTTACTTCATGTTATGCACGATGACTCAAAAGTGGGTGGTTGGTTCTCCACATCTGTCTCTATGGCATTTCATATTGCCATGGTCAGAAGCGGCACTTCTTTTTACCATAGTAATACCATTGTACATCTCCTCCAAATTCTTCCGATTCCGTTCATAGTCCTCCTTTGTGGAGTTCTCTTCCATGTCCGTCCACTTAATCATCTCTTTACACGTCCTAATAAATTTTCGTCTATGCTCCTCTGATGCCCTTTGCTTCATCTCCTCGCTCTCCATTTTCGATTTTATGCTGTAAATGTAGCTCACTAACGCATTCTTCGCTGCCATCCTGATTCTCTCCTTCTCGTCTTCCAGCTTCATCTTCTTCGCATCATTTATCATTCGTTCTACCTTCACCTCCGAAAGGCCAACCTTGCCTTCGATAGGAGTGATGCTCTTCCGCTTCCAAAACGTCTTTTTCACCGCTGACACATGGAGAATGCCACTTTCGTCAATCTCGATAGTCAAATAAAACTTGACCAAACCAAGCAGATCCAAACAACAATTCGTAGAAGGAAAGTCGTCTAAAATGTAGATGTTGTTTACCTTCTGACTCTCACCCTCAAAAACAGTGTACGTGTTATCAGCAATATTATCTGTAGGAATTTTGCAGGCCCATTTCTTCTTTATCGGAATTTGCGTGTTGCGCTCTACTATCTCCCAATTAGTACCATCTGGGAACTCCAGCCACTGTGATAGCGGCGCCACTTCCAGCAGCCTCAAATGCTGCATCGACTTCGGAATAGCACCAGTCAGTTTGGCCGCCAGTAATGTCGCACCGTACGCCACTGCCTCGTCTGCGTTGACGGTCCTATTCAGTTTTTTGCCATTGAAGAAGTTCTGCAACATCGTCTGCACCTTAGGAATACGCGTTGATCCACCCACCAACAATATCTCGTCGATGTCAGTCCGCTTCATCTTCGCAGCACTCAATGCTGACCTTACCGCATCCATCGTTCGGCTGAAGAGGTCCGAGCACAACTGCTCAAGTTGGTCTCGAGTGAGTTCCGTACAGAAATCGATGTCCTTAAACAACGATACAACTTCTACATTTGTGGAGTCAATTGTACTCAGCTTCCTCTTTGCCGTCTCACATGCTTTTCTCAGACGGATAATTGCTTTTTTGCTAGTTGTCAAATCCCTTTCCTCGTGCCTGCGTTTGAACTCCTCCACACAGTGATCCACCAGTCGAGAATTGATGTTTTCACCACCCAGGTGTGTGTCACCACCAACTGCCTTCACCTCAAATGTGCCATTCTCGATGGACAGGATGGACACGTCGAGGGTGCCACCACCCCAATCGAAGACGAGCACATTGTGCTGTCTCTCACTTCTCTTCTTCACGCCATATGCAATGGCAGCTGCAGTCGGCTCGTTGATGAGACGCAGCACATTCAGACCCGCAATTTTTCCTGCGTCAAGTGTAGCCTGACGTTGGCGGCTATTGAAGCAAGCTGGTACAGCGATCACCGCATCTGTGACCTTCTCACCCAGGTAGGCCTCCGCTGTCTCCTTCATCTTCTGCAACACCATGGCCGAGATCTCCTCCGCAGCGAATTGTTTCTTCTCACCACGATATTCTACCTCAATCTTCGGCATCCCTTGTGAATTTATAACTTTGAAGGGCCAGTACTTTATGTCATCCTGCACTGCCTCGTCGTCGAAAGTGCGCCCAATCAGACGCTTCACGTCGAACACAGTATTGGTGTGGTTTACAGCCATCTGGTACGTTGCAGCTTCACTGAATAAACGCTCCTTATCTGTAAAGGCCACACAAGTGGGCGTTGTGCGGTGATCCTGATCGTTGGCTACGATTTCCACCCTGTCGTGCTTGAACACACCGACGCACGAGAAGGACGTTCCTAAGTCAATGCCGATGGCTGTACCTGTTGACATGGCTTCGTGGGTTGTACAAACGCTAACGTGTTGTGCCGACTGATGATTGCCTTCACAACCTCTGCAACCCTCTTTATGAGTTGGAGCAGATCCAGTAGAACCTATCCGCGATGCGCGCTACTCATTATAATGCTGTTATCCAACCACGAGATGCCACAATCTCGTTTCTCCAAATTTACTGGCGACTGCGCACTCAAGAGCAATGACGCGCAATGCAGGCTCCAACTTGAACTCGCCTGTTGGTGAGCACTGTCGTGAGCAATGGTGTGGGCTGCGTGTTGACGTGTGAGTGACAGAAATCCAGCAGTGTGGAAGTGTCAGTATATCGACACTTTCCTGGTAGTATTCTGATTCCTATGAGACCCCAAGTAATGAGTTGGGTAAGCATGTACTGAGTGCTAACATCCACCTAACCGACTTGGCTGTCTCCAGCATAATGAGTCGAGTAGAATACTGCAATGAAGCCTTTGATGTATCATAGCGAATCGGAGTTGGAAATGATGCAACATGCTTGCGTTACCTTTTGTTCTAGTAAATTTGTACTGCTTTTAGGCTACTGGTAGTATTCCTTGGTGGAAAGCAGGTTGAGTTATTGTAGCTGTGATGAAGAAGCATGGCTTTAGGCTGATAGCTGTATGAAATTCAGGGGGAATGCATCGTTCGTGTAGTCGGTTACGGCGGTTCTTTAAATTGTCAATAAGGTGCCTACTGTGAAATTCAGGTTTTAAAACCTAAAGATCGCATCTCATATTTCTAGCAATCTTGAAAACATTCACACCTGTGTCTTCTACGCCCTCCCATTGCTGGGCAAATA